TGAATTATGTATTTGGTCATATTTTCAAAAATAAACATTGATTTGAAATTATAAATATTTTTAGTTTTTAAAAAAAATCCCGGACTCAAAGGGTTAATGGTTAATAAAAATGATAGATAAAAAAAACAAACTAGATATGTGTATTGTAAAGAACTGATACTGGTGTTTATCAACGAGTTTCAATTAAATTTTTAAATATAAATGTCAAAAAAGGATTAAAAGTTTGTTCTGGAAATGCAAAATTTATCATTTTAGAGGTTACGAGGTTTTTATTGAATTCTGACTATGAGCGAGATGTTGACCGTAAATTTTGGTACATGTTCAAATCTCAAGGAGAGATCGCAGAAAATATTGTCAGCTAAATTCGTATAATACTTAAAGCTTCCTGACAACAACCGATTCCGCATCAAGTACATTCCAATAGCGTGAAAATTTCACAAAAATGTTGAAGATATAGTAGGGAAGCAAAGAGAAAAGTTTTCGCTCAATATGATGGCATTCAAAGAAAGATATTTATTAAACAAAGGTTTTATGTTACTTATTTGGCAAATCAAAAATCTTTGTGAATTTTCTTAGTTTTCATGTGGAAGGAAAACAGGTAAGTTTGATGCCTTACAAAAGCTCTTTTCATATGAACAATCTATTTATAGAAGTGTGTATATATTTAATAAAAAACAAAACTTAATTAAGAAGTAGTATCTCATTTTCTGCATCTCTTCATGTACTTTCAAACAAGAACAAATTAGTTGCCTACAGGGAACTTTGTTTAGGAGCTCAGCAATGTGCCGTGAAAACAGAATAAACAGACAAAAAAAAATTTTTTGGAAAAGAAAATTTACAATATTTTAGTATTTTTATCTCTTCGAGTTACTTATTAGATAGCAAATTTTTCTTTAATATTGCCAAAGCCTTTTCTCCCTATGAAACTTAGGAAAAGTTGGCTTATGCATTGATTGTTTTCGAAAAGGATCAAATGAAACGTTTGTTTAGGATGAGAAAATCTCAAAACCAATGATTTTTTTCATTTCAAACAAAACATTAAATTAAGTTTTCATTGAATAACCTATAACACCAATTTCTTCGAACGGGTATTACAAATTTTTAAAAAGAATAAAAACTATGAAACTCGTTTGTCAGAGTTTTACAACCAAGTAATTAAAGAATCATCTATTTCTTGACATATTCACCGATTGCAAAAACGTGTTCAGGAAAAAAACAAATTAATGGAATCGATCGAAATATTACTATTCAGAATACAATTTAAAAGAAAATGGAATAGCTTTTAGGTTTATTAGTAAGATAAATAATATTCATATAAATGAACAATTGAAACGATAGAAAAAGAATTAAAGTTTAGAGCTCTGTTCAAGATTGCTGTTGATTGATTGACAAAAATGGTTTGAAAAGACTATGATCATCTATTATTCATCCAAGTACTAAACATTCGAAAGAAGTTGACATAATGCATACATACATGAGTTCGAAACGATGACACTCTGTTTGAAAATAAATGGACGTTAAATAACATTCTACTATTTTACTAAAAAACTTATTTATGAAGTTAACTTATTTAATATAAACTTGTGATCTAGAATGTCTTGATCTATTGTGGAGATCGGAAGAAAAATCAATTTTTCGTTTATTTCGTTGACATTTTGTATGTTCTAATCTGATATACAATCAAATTATGCGCGGTGCATGCAATTCATAATTTGATCTTACAGCTGTTTTTAGTGCTTCGTTTTTATTTCGTTTTCAATATTTGCATTTTGACTAGATCTGACGACGTCATTAACTACAACGCAGTTTATCATTATGTTATCATAGGTCATAGATATGCACTGACAATGTATTCATCCTGTGAGATCATACTATTTAGACAATATTCAAGGAAAACTAGTTCGAAATGACTTTTGAATGAAAATATTTAATATCAAATTGATTGAAGTTTATTGATCTTAATTAAATACACTCAATAAAATAATTTGATCGTTATATTACTTCATTTTCAGCATTATCAAAAGTTACTGATGAGGTTTATTATAAGAAAAAATCAAACTAAGACAAGGCCATGTTACGATGAATAGTGTTCTATTTCATAGTTCTAATGAATAATAGTGATGATTCTTTGGACAATTTGATTTTTACGAATAGTATTTGCAATCATTTGTAACATGAGGATCTATACGAAGTTTCTTAGAACATATTCTTCAAAAAGTCATTTTTCTGTTTTAAATATTCTAGGATATTTAAAAACCATTACTGTTTAAAGATTTTCAACACTAGTTAATATTTGTCTTCAGCTATTTAAATATTATATTAATATTCATTGCTGATAGAGTCTAGAAGCGTGTATATAATGTCCATGAGTTTCCTCCAACATACATAGATCGATTGCGTTTGTTTTTTGTGTGAATTAACAAATGCATTAAATAATTAATAACTGCTCATGAATGGGCAGAACAATTCCAAGAAAATCTTTTGTACCCAATCGCTTCATTGAATTTTTTAAAAATATTATTTTTTATCAGTAGATGTTTGAAAAAATATTTGACTTGTCTTTATCATACGACCAAAAAAAGACGAAAGTACTCTAATCTGCTCAGAGAAATAGAATAGCTAATAATCAATTCATGAACGAGTCATGGATTGCGTTTTCAATAAATATGAGTGTTTATCAAGTAGTGCTGAAAATCTTTACATAATGATTGGGATAAAACAACTACTCATTCATCTATGATAAAAGGAGTTTTAACACTGCATATTCATACTATGAAATGAAAGTCAACACAGTTGAGTGATAGCAGAACACTTCAAGATGCTGTATGAGTAGAATTTCTCAGGAGAAAAACTTCAAATGAACATCATCAGGTTAATCAAACCATTGAAACCAAATACTAGTTAAATAAGCAAATTATGTATAGATGCACTGATCCTCGTTTTATGTATTTTTGAACATGAATAGTAAACAAAACATCCTTTTTTTAATATTCATAGACGATATGTCAGACACTGACTGCTGCAAATCTTCGATCAACTTATATGAAAGCTTCAACACTTGCTGTCAAAGCAGCTATTCAACACGTACCAGATTTTGCAACACATGTACCAAGTTGTGTTGATTTTTCCATAGCAAGTTCTAGTGCGAAAATTGGATTGACAAAGGAGGACGTTGCTGCAATAAAAACATATACCGCTGAATGTCCGGTTTATAAACTTCTCAATACAGCACTTCGCAGCGAACAAAGGAAGAATATTGAACCTTGGTTCCCTTATTTGAAACTTCTTCACATTGCTATCAGTAAACTGCATCCAAAGAAAGGAACATATTGTCGTGGAATAGGTGGAAACCTAAGTTCTGTGTATCCAGTCGGTTCCACTGTGGTGTGGGTAAGTGTATTCAAACAATCAACACAGAAAGAAAATGATTTTCATTTTATAAATCGATATGTACTAATCTACTTTGTTTCCATCTTCTTAATAGTGGGGCATCTCATCATTATCCTCAAAAACAAGTGTATGCAAAGGGTTTTTGAAACCCAGTGGCTTTGGAATATACAACAGTACCTTGTTCACAATCCAGTCTTCATCAGCAACAAGCATAACAGTTTTTTCCGAATTTCCTGGTGAAGAGGAATCACTTTTATTACCCGCTACCAAACTCAAGGTTATTAGCAACAAAATCAGTACACTGTATACAGGATTAGCTGAAATAAGTGTGGAAGAAATCGAAGCTACTTCTCATGGTAAATCAATTCATTTGAAACTGATCCTTTTCAACGCAAAAAATTGAAAACAAGTCAGGAATAGGATTTACTCATGAATAAAAGGGATAATAGAACAACTCGGAAAAGTTTCAACATGCCAATTTAAAATAAAGATTATTGAGATATTTTTAATACTAGCAGTTTCTACAATAACATCAGAAACAACAACAACAACTTCAACAACGAAAATATCATCAAAAGTAACAACATCAAAACCAACCACAACCACAACCACAACACCAACAACGACATCAAAATCAACGACCAAATCAAAAGTGACAACCACATCAAAACCAACGACCACATCGAAAGCGACAACAACATCAAAATCAAAGATGACATCAAAAGTGACAACAAAATCAATAACGGCAAAAGCGTCAAAATTAACAACAATCTTGAAACCATCATCAACATTGGCCAGTGCTGGACTCGAAAAAAGGTATAATGAAACAAATAAAAAGCAGAAACTGAAAAGCCACTAATAAAAATTTAAAAGTGATCACAGAACAAGAGATATGTTCGAGTATAGCCGCCAAAAAAGGAATGCATGCATAAATGAATCCGTATATGTTGTTTTATATCGGTATAAAATGCTGCAGTATCTTATTAAAGGAATGTCGATAAATCAAAGCAGTATTCAAAAAGAAACTTCAAACACTTCTTTATGATTGATAAAAAAAATCAGCTGAATATCTTTGCGCAGAGTGAAAATATTCAAATTTTGAATCCTAAGGATGACTATTACTCATTCTACATTACTTTTAAAAGTTAAACAGGAAGTATCATGTAAAACTCTCTTCAAAGTATATATATATATATTATATATTCAAACTTTCTTAATAGAAAATAATATCTCTTTTGAGAAGAGTTGTTCCCACAAGTTATCTGAATTCCTATATGGTTACAATAGTTTTGAAAAATAATTACAACATATTTTGTTTGAATAAATTTTCTGAATTTATTATAAACTTGAATTTTACTATTTAGTGATAAGAAAAGAAACTTATTGTTGATTGTAACTGGTGTCATCGTCACCATTGTAATTATCTCTGGACTTATTGCAGCTAGTGTTTATTATTATATGAAAATTAAGTAATTTGAAATATCACAATCATCAAAGCAATTAAGTCTAATCACTGCATATTTATTTTACTTTTCTTCTCTTATTGATTGCAATTAAAATGTCGTCGATGTTTCATATTTTCGATTATAAAAAAACATACAATTAATTCAAGCATTTTTGTATTTTTATTTCTCTTAATATTTTACATGTCATCATTTTCATTGTAGCAAGCGACAATTCTTAATATATCTATTAAAAAACAACAAATCATACGACTGTCTAGATAGTTTTCAAATAATTTTCTTTTCTTCAATGATATATTCAAAACAGAAAATTATTGATCAGAAGACGGGATTGAGTAATAATCTATTATATTTATTCGTAAAACAACAATGGAATAGTTCAAATCGATTTTCATTCAATTGATGAGCTATTTTTAACTTTACATGTAAATCATCAATAAAAATGACACTTCATTCAACAGCATTTGTCATCGAAAAATATTGAGAATAGCCGAAGTTAAATTTTTTCTAACAAAATGTATTCTAAATTTGAAGAAAACAGAAAACGTGATTCATACGTTAAATACGAATATGGCTAACGGGCAACTATAATTTGACAGAGTCTCATATTGTTAGAATGTAGGTATTTTTAAAAACTAATTGGAAGATATAATTATAAACATTGATGCTATTGCGTTTTTGTGCTTTCGTTATAAGTTCTTTAATACAAAATCTAGTATTTCTTTGTAGATCTATGATTTAGAAATAGCATGGATCGTTTGTGAAAACTTAGTTACAACTTCAAAGACAACGCTCTTGTGATAAACAATATTAACTGAATGGTCAGGATTGACTAACACATTTGGACGTTTCTGAAACATCGATGATTTTTGAAACGTCCAGAAGTACTTTAGCAACGATTACGTCTTGCGATAATGAATTATTGACTAAATTCGAATCTAACTTTATTTCTTTTCTAAGATGATGCTTGATAGATTTTTCTATGATCGAATTAT